TGTCGTGTTTCTTTCCATAATGCTAAGTTTGGCTGATTATTACAGATTATGAACTTTATATATTGTTCTCTCTTCTTTTCTATTGCCTTGAATTCTCTTACTGCATTGCAATTATGTCTTAACTTGCACTATTTCAATCACTCATGTCTTATTTGTTTTTCCTTTTTTTCCTTTTCTTGTTCTTCCTTTCGGTGAATATATTTTTCCAAATAGATAGTTAAACATTAACCTGGCCATTGTTTTTAAGCAATTGTCCATATCTGTATCTAAATTTCACGGTCATTGCTTCATTGTTTTTTCACCTTTTGAGCATCATCATCCTCTTGGTTTCGATCATTCTCTCTTGGCTGTCGCTTTTACTGTTATTGCTTTATTGGGATCCTTAATTGAGAATCATTCACATAACTACTCCTTGAAGCCATATCATGGCAAAGATTCAGTCAAACTTCTTATTCTGCAACTCCATTTGGCCTCTCATTTTGGTTCCAACTTTCCCTACATGTATTCTTTCTTCTACAAATGCTTCTAGCTTCTGTGCTTCTTTCACAGTCGCCTTGCAAGCATTCTTTATTAGATACATCAAATGCCAAGGACAAGGTCTGCAGCTCGTGACTCAGAGTTTTCTGAAAAGTCTACTGAGCCAGAAAAGCCAATGGAATCTGAAGAGCGGGTTGATCTTGATGAAGACAATGATCCTGAGGAGACTTTGGAGGAAGAAGTGGAATATGAAGAAGTGGAGGAAGAAATAGAAGAAGAGGTGGAAGAGGTGGAGGAGGAAGCAGAATCTGAGGAAGACAATGAGGAGGCAACTAATAGGTCCGATTCACAGAAAGGCTCAGATGGCGATGAAGAGATGCATACTGCTGCGACAGATGAAAATGAGAAGAAAAAACATGCCGAACTCCTTGCACTACCTCCTCATGGATCAGAGGTGTACCTTGGTGGTATTCCGCAGGATGCTTCTGAAGAGGATTTGAAGGGCTTCTGTGAGTCTATTGGAGAAGTCACAGAGGTATATTACACTGTTTTTTATCAAATGGCCCTTTGTTCTGATGTTTAGACTTACTGGATATTTTTATGCTGACAACAGGTAAGGATAATGAAGGGGAAAGATTCTGGTGAAGGCAAGGGTTATGCCTTTGTGACTTTTAGAACTAAAGATCTGGCGAGTAAGGCCATTGAGAAGCTGAATAATTCTGATTTGAAGGTAATTTCCACTATCCCATGTGCTCTTTAATGCTTTCTCACTTTCATTTGATTCCTGTCAATGCTTGTAAATTTTCTATTATTTTTGCTGCTTATATGTGTATGGCTGTCCAAGCATCTGATCTGTTCTGTTCATTTTGGTACTGTTACTTTAACGTCTATTGTTTCCAAAGCCTATTTGGCATCAATATCTCTATTTTCTTCATTTTTTTTTCGCAGGGAAAAAAGATAAAGTGTTCAACATCTCAAGCAAAACATCGTTTGTTTATTGGTAATGTTCCCCGAAATTGGACGGAGGCAGATATGAGGAGGGTAGTAAGTGAAGTTGGCCCTGGAGTTGAATCTGTTGAACTGTTGAAGGTTGTTCCTTGTCAAACTTTCTAGTCCAGAAATAACACTTTCTCTATTTCCTTATAAGTTGCCTTTTTTGTGTTGTCATCAAATGTTATAAATCTTATTCCAAAATAGAAAACAAATAGTATTTTTTTAATAGCATTTCTTAGTCTGTTTCCTGATCTTTGTTAATATTAATTGTTGACATCACAGGACCCACAGAACTCCAGCAGGAACCGCGGATTTGCTTTTATCGAGTATTATAATCATGCATGTGCAGAATACTCAAGACAAAAGATGTCAGACCCAAAATTAAGCTTGACAGTAATGCTCCAACTGTGAGCTGGGCTGACCCTAAGAATGCAGAATCTTCTGCTGCTTCCCAGGTTTTCTGCTCTATACTCACGTTCTGCCTTTTTTTAGATAAAAATGACAGAATGTTGTGTTAAATTGCTTAGACTCGCTGGTTCCTATTTATTTATTTTTTTGGCTGCCTCTCAAAAGCTTGTGGAATACTTGTGCTCACGTAATTCTGTGATTGTACCTGTCCCCGCTCTTCTTTTGGATATTCACTTGTACTGTAATATCTACTTGTATATGTCTGTCTTGAGCACTTGTTTTCTCAACAGTGTGAATTGCCACGCAATACGGTGTAAGGAGTTACATGTATCCTAATTTATTAACTCAACAGCTCAATACTAGGTGAATCTGTTTGCTTAGTTGGAGTCCTGCATTTCTTTTTTCCTCCATACTTGAGACAAATCATTTGATGGCCTATCAATAGGAGTTTGGCAGATCATGACTTCTCTTTATCGCAGATTAAAGCATTTATGTTAAGAACTTTTGCCTAATTTAACCCCGAAAGATTGACATGTTGTGATATGACACTTCTGTTGTAGGTTAAAGCATTGTATGTAAAAAATTTACCAAAGGATATCACTCAGGATCGCTTGAAAGCATTGTTTGAGCATCACGGAAAGATCATAAAGATAGTCCTTCCACCAGCAAAAGCTGGGCAAGAGAAGAGCAGATATGGTTTTGTGCACTTTGCAGAGAGATCGAGTGCCATGAAGGCTTTGAAGAATACTGAAAAATATGAACTTGATGGTGAGTTGTACTCCCATTCTTGCAGCTGGTTGTTGTTTATTATTTCCATACCTTCTAAGCTCTGGATTCTTTGACATGAATTGCATTGACAGGTCAAGTTCTGGAGTGTTCTCTGGCTAAGCCACAGGCAGATCAGAAGTCTCCTGGGGGTCCAAACTCACATAAATCATCCATAAATCCAAGCTTTCCACCTCGCCTTGGATATGGTATGGTTGGAGGTGCATATGGTGCTGTAGGTGCAGGATTTGGCGCTGCAGGCTTTCCCCAGGTTCGATAGCTTGTAACCTACAGACACCCTTTTTCCATTTCTGCTTATTTGCTGAGAAGATGGTTGTGCAAATGAGATTCTTAAAAGGTTTTCAAGGAAGATTTTCAAATCAGCTTGCACTACTTATATTCTTGTCATGTCTGCTTATTGCTCAGTGTTTTCTTCATTTCTGCTTATTTCCTGAAGATGGTTATGCAAATGAGATTCTCAGACAATTTGTGAACGAACCACCTCAAAGGCTGTAAATTTTTTTCTTCATAGCATAGAAACTAATGAATGGTGAACAAAAGTACCATTTGAGGCAGTGCATGAAATTTACTTCTTCATTTATTATTCTGATCTGTTGACTATTGCATAATTGTCTGTTGACTATTTCATGGCCTCAATTTTGCAGCCATTGATCTATGGTAGGGGGCCGACGCCTTCAGGAATGGCAATGATGCCAATGCTTTTACCTGATGGAAGGATTGGATATGTACTGTAAGTTGTTCCCACTTCAGCTAGTTAGCTGTTTTATTCTACCATGGTTGGTATGGGAGGGACATAATGTCCTGCTGTACTTTTCTAACATCTAATCTTTAGTAATAACATTCGTCATATCCTGCTATACATTTCTAACATCTCATTTATAATGATAACATTTTGTAGCTGTCAGGTCAAAATATAAGGTGATTAATATAAAAAGTTATTGAACTATTATAACATTTAGAAAATTATAAGAGGCAATGATGCCCCCGAGCACCTTATAGACTTTCCTGCTTGATGCACCATAAGTGCTTAATCTGCTTGCACATTTGTCGGGATATCTTGCTGGGTTGTTGGCAGCCAAAATTGACATTGTTTGTCTGCAGGCAACAGCCTGGAGTACAACAACCACAGAGCCGTCCGCCACAGCCCAGGAGTGGTAGGACCGGGGCTGGGAGCAGTTCAAGTGGAGCAAGGCGTAGTAACGATAGTACCCGAGGTCGCAGCCGTTATAACCCATATTAATAATCTAATTTCTTTCGGAAGGAATTGGGAACGAAGGGGAGGGGAATCTGCACCCATGTTTTTCAGGCTTGTATTTATGATTTAGCATTTGGAGGAGTTCAATTGAAAATTATTTGCAAACCCGTGACTTTTTTCACTAGTTTGGATCTGTCAACCCAATGAAGTTTTTAAGTAGGTTCAGTTGTTTGCATTTCTTGTCATTGTTTGGAATCTTTTCATCAAGTGGTTATCTACCCAATCTATAGCCTTGTTACTTTTGGAGCAAATGAGTTTTTGTCTTTATAAAATTTATTTTTTTAAAAAAAAAAAATCTTAAATTTTGTGATGGTCAGTTGTGTATTATATTAAATGGAAGTAAGTTTATAAAATTAAGATTCACAAACTAATTTTATAAATACAACTTGTTGGCTCCAAACGTTATCTAATTTTTCTGATACAGATGAACAAGAGAGGATTTGATTATTTGAATAGAAAGCCTTAAAGGTCATGTATGAAGTGCGGCTCCGAGAGAATTGATATGTTCTGATTATATTCACAGTTTATTCTTTGAAACTGTCGAAAATACCACTTAAAATTGGAAGTTCTGTAAAGATTTTGGAAGAAGAAAACGTCTTATTGACACCAGACAGTACAAATCTACATAAACTGATAGGTTTGAAGCAAGCGGATCTTTTTTATCCAACTTATTTAAAAATTTACATCTACTTTAATTAAATAATAAGAGCTGGACTTAATAAGAAAAATTCAAATTTTATGTTAGAAATCAGTTTTTACCATTTTAGTAAAAAATTATACCATTCTCCTAATCAACAGTGTATATTTTTAAAATAAATTTTACAATGTAAGTTCATCTATTCAATAAAGGACTTCTTTTTCAAATATATATATATATATATATATATATATATATATATATACGGGACACACGGATATACATAGATATAGAGAGAGAGAAGAGAGAGACTCCCAAGTTTAGTGCATAGCTCCCCATGGGTGAGTTTCCGACTTTCTGAGCAGAATAAATATTGGTAACTCCAATCCAAAGACAATAAGAGAAAGAACTGGTATACAGTGGCTAACAATCTCACATGCATATTATTACATGCACTGTCTAAAAACCCTACTTAAACAAAGGCCCGCGAAACGCGAAGGATCAACCATTCCTACTGCTTCTAATATTTGAGTTCATAAGAATTTGAAACACAACGATTTTCTTCTTGGCATCATTCAATATCAGAGTCTATCTATATTAAACCAACATATGAAAAAAGAACCCTAATTACAAAGTTTATCCCAGGAGTATCACAATTTCTTCCCCAAGCGTCAACTGATACAGAAAAAGCTACAGAAAGAGCATCAATGTAGTTGAAAGTTATAGCAGAACATGATCAAGTGTGAGCGCATATGCAACTCTACTTATACAGAATGCATCAAATGGCATTCCATCTGCTGCAGTTAGAATATAAAACCGTAACAACTACAGTATTAATGTGCTCTGTCAGAAAGCAAGCTCACTTTCTCACCACAATCCTTCAAATGAAGTTTGAAACATCCTGGGGCGGTTCAATCCAAATGTTCTCGAAAGGGTCCTGCTCTCCCCAGTCGTGGCACTGCTTACGCGGATAGTATCTACAGTCATCTAGCGAGTAAGATATGCAGCGCTTTCCAAAGAAACGAACTTTTGAAAAGTAGACACTATTCCTCATTATTCCAGGGAGGTCGGTTCTTGATTGAGATGATAAGAAGCTTGCAAAAAGTGTCACACCATCTAGGGATGTCATCTCTTCCCATACCATGTTTGCCCTGTCAAGTTTAAATATAATGGGATTCTCACTACAGCATGTATAAATGACTAAGATATCCCCTTTGTACTCGGCCATGAATTTTCCTTTCCACCAGTTTTTGGCGAAAAAATTCTCAGGACATCTGGGTGGAGGTACAGAAAGAACATTCCACGTTTGTTCTGAAGGATCAAAAACACCTAGCCAGCCCGTGAGACTTAGACAGTAAAATTGACCATTGCAGAAAACAAGCTTATTCCAAATGCTACTAACAAAAGGCAAGCGATTTTGGAAGTTAACAGTAGTCCAATCTGTTGCACCAGGACTGCAGGTGCTGATAGCAACCACAGTGGGGCTGACATGCTTAACAGTAAATACCACACAGCTTGCAGATGTTGGAGCAGAAGAGAAAGCAACTATCTGGTATGTCAACTCAAATCTAGGCAACTTGATCAGCTCCCTAGTAAATGGATTAAAGAAGAACACGCGGTATGTTCTAGGTCTGTATAGCAGCAACCAACCATCTTTTGTATAACAGACCCTCGACCCATACAACTCTGGTAATTCAAATGAGTATGTGTTGCGCTGCGATGGATCGTAGAATTCATACAAATTACCATATTTTGGGAAATACATAAGCCATGGTGATTGGTTAACTATCCGGACTGAAATTGCAACAGTATGCCATCTCTTGCAAA